CACACACACTCACACACACACACACACGCACACACGCGCACACACACGCACAGACGCGCGGATCCGCCGCTGCCACTGCAGCTGCCATGGACATCAGCTAACACCACACACCCCGGCGCGCGCTCCCACTCGCACCGCGCAGGAGTGGCCCCCGGCATCCCTGCCCGCCGTCACCACCCCCACCCCACCCGCTCCCCGCTCCCCGCTCCGCTCCTGCTCGCTCCGGCCGCCGCCGCCACTGCTCTCCTCCGCTGCGGGGCCACAGCCTTGAGTGTCATTCCAGGGACAGCACCACCTCACCCCAGCTCTCCTACCTCTGCCCAGCCGCCCCGCTCCTCCCTCCCCGTCCGCGTCCACACTCCATCCCAAGAAGAGGGAAAGCGCCGAACAGAGGTGGGAGGAAAGCAAAGTCCGCTCTTCTCACCTCTGGGCCCCCCCCCCGGCTCCTCCATCCTCATCCTCTCACCGCCCACACCCCTGCCCCGGAGGAACCCCTCAGGAGCCGAGGCGCCTCGCCCCACTGCCATGTCCAAAAGCTTGAAAAAGAAAAGCCACTGGACCAGCAAAGTCCATGAGAGTGTCATTGGCAGGGAACCCGGAGGGCCAGCTGGGCTTTGAGCTGAAGGGGGGCGCGGAGAACGGCCAGTTCCCCTACCTGGGGGAGGTGAAGCCCGGCAAGGTGGCCTATGAGAGCGGCAGCAAGTTGGTGTCGGAGGAGCTCTGCTGGAGGTGAACGAGACCCCGTGCCGGGGCTCACATCAGGGACGTAGCTGGGCGTTATCAAACACTGCAAGGACCCCCTCCGGCTCAAGTGTGTCAAGCAAGGTGAGCGCGGCGGCCGGCCGGGCGGGCGGCCGGACCGCCGGGGGCGCGGGGCGCCGGGAGGGTGGGCTCGCCCGGGAAGGGGGTGTGTTGCCCGGGGGTGCGGTGAGGTCGAGTCTGCACCGGGTGAGCCGGTGACCTTGGCGCAGGATTCGAAACGGGGGGGGGGCCCCTAGGGAGCGAGGGCAGTTTTCGGCCCCGCGTACAACTTTGTTGGCGCAGTTACCCCCCCCCCGGTGGAAGGTCCCCGGCCTGGTTTCTGACCTCGAAGATGCGGGCAAGCTCGGGGGGCAAATTCAATGTGCGTCAGTGGCAGCGCCCGCAGTGGATGGGGAGTTTTCAGGGAAGGGAGGGAAGGGAGAAAGGAAGGAAGGGAGGGAGGAAAGAAAGTAGGGGACATAAAAAGGAGGGAGAAAGGGGAGGAAGGAGCAACTTGAGGGTGCAGCAGCATCCCCCCTGGGCGGAGAGGAGCAAAAGGTGGCGGGGAGAGAGGAAAACTGCGCCCGACATCCGCCCTCCCCCCCCCCCCCCCAATTTGGGAAGCTGGACCCTAGGTGCCTTGATCCGCAGCCGTCCCCTGGGGAACCCTGAGCCACTACTTGACCAAGCACAGAGGGGATCGACCGCTTTGGGCGCTTTGACCGGTCTTCCTGAACTTTTTCCCTGCTTCGCCGCTCTGACCCCCTCCCCCGCCCATGGTCGTGTCATGTGGGCACCGCGCGTCACGTGCGCACTGACTAACCCGGGCGCGCACCCCGAGCTGGCCCGCGGGAGCAGGCTCGCAGAGAAGGCGCGGCTCGAGGAAGGGGTTCCAGCGTTGGGGTGTCTGGAGGAGAGAAACGGTCACCCGAATGTACTCTACTCGGGGATTGCCCCGTTGGAGTGGAAGTTCTCTGTGGTTGCACCCTCCTCTGGCGTCGGATTGGGGGGAGGCGGGGCCGTGTATCTGAGGAGGGGCTGGATGGAGAAGCTCAGGACTGCCACATAGATGAGCTTCAGTTAACTGGAAGGCTGTGATGGGGACGTATAGAGGCTGAGGTCTTGCAGAACTCTCACTAATGAATTGTCTTTGCTGGAAAGAAAATACGGCCTTGAAAGAGGGAAGAAAGAGGGAGATAAAAGTTTCTTGTAAAGAGGAGAACTCTAACTAGACTAAAGTAGTGTACCTTTGTTTTCCACGTGTGCCCTGTGTGTCTATGTGCATGTTCTTATCCATGGACAGGGTTGCTGGTGGTGTGACCTTGTTCGTCCTGCCTCAGAGATGGAATGGAGCACATCATTGCCTGTGTTTTGAACAACCACTTAGTCTCACTTCCAGATGAACTGTCAGGACGCACTCGTAGGGAGATGTTCTCTATAAAACCAGTTTTAAAAGTAAACAAGTGAAAAGCGATGTCTCAGGTGAAATTTCTTCCATGTAAATTGCCACACAAGAAAATGTTTTCATTGGAGATTCTTGAGTATTATTAGATGATGACTTGAGAAAGGCTAATGTAAACAGTGACTTGAAGGTCAACATTGCTCAAATTGTGAAACTGAGGAGTATGAGTTAGGTAGGAAGGCAAATAGAGCATTTTGGTATTTTTCAAGATGACACAAGCCTCAAATATAGGGATTCGTGTTAATATACTTGATGGCATAATACTATTTTATAGCAATAGATATAAGTTTAAAGTTCTGGTGTGAGTCCAGGAAATCCACTACATAATCAATGACCATGGTTTTGTTGGCAACAAGCTTGGTATTTGTAGTAGAAAGTTGTTGCAAAAGTGAATGCATTTTAAAATTTGACTCATGATGGTATGCTAACGAGGGAGGTGATTGTCCTATTGGAGTTTGCAGTGATGGCCACATTTTAATGTTGTATTTATTCTGAGCACTACCTTTTGAGACGGACCTTGGCAGAATGTAACTCTAGCAGCAAGAATGTGACCAGAAAATAAAGGAAGGGGGATTATTTGGGTATTGTAGCTCACTTCCATAAAATCCAGTGGAAAGACTTAACTTCTAAAAGTAAGGGCATGAAAGCTATCAGGTAAGAAAAGGAATTCTGACTATCCTGCAACACTCCACAGGACAAAACTAAGATGGATCTATGGGATATTTTTTTAAAGGATAAAGCCTCTTTATCTTAATAAAGAAGATGATCTTTCTAACAGAGCTTTCCAAACATCTGTGGGCTATATTATGAATTCATGAGACCTGCATCAATGTGGGTGTTTATGAAGAGCCCTAAGTGACCATATGCCATAAATTCCTGTGAAAGATGGGGACCTGGGCTAGTTATTTAAATCTTGCCATGATTCCGTCCAAGGTAGTCTCTGATCACTTAACTTCTGTATATTTTGTTTGTAAGATTATTGCTTTTAGAACTCCTTGGAACATATGCATATAAAGGAATTTTAGGGGGAAAGTTCTTTTTATTCTGTATGAACCCACAGTTCCAGGCCTCATGGGGTCATTGATGATTGATGCTGGTAATGATATTCACAGAGTCTCCACAGGAGCCTGTTTCACCTCCTGAGTCAGTACTGACAAAAAAAGAAAAAAAGAAAAACACCTTCTTTTAGCTTAAAAAAAGTATTTTTAATATTTTTTGTTGATTTTAGAAAGGAAGGGAGAGGGAGAGGTAGAAACATCAATGATAAGAGAATCATTGATCAGCTGCCCCCTGAATGCCCCACAGTGGGATTGAGCTCCCAATTCAGTCAGAGGCCCTGACTAGGAATCAAACCTTGACCTCCTGGTTCATAGGTCAACAGTTAACCACTAAGCAACACCAGCTGGGCTTCTTTTAGCTTTCGTAGAAAATATAATCATCTTGTATCTATATATATAAAAGGCTAATATGCTAAGTGGCAAGTAGCAATGCCTGGCTTCCTCTCCTAAACTACTAGCCTCCTTGCAGTTTCTTCAGCCTAGGAACACGATTTGCTTTATAGCCAGGTGCAAACATTTTTCATTTTAACCAAATGTCTGTGAAGCGTTTTCCCACGCCTCATCTCATTTGATCCTCACGGAAGTCCTGGAGTAGGTAGATAGGAGACTCGGTGGAATCCTATTTTCTTCTCATTAGCCAGAAAAGTGAGATTTAGAAAGCTTAGAAACTTGACTCGACTGAAAAGAAGTAAGAAATGGTGGACCTTGAGAATGACTTTAGGTTTTCTCACTGCGTAGAATATAGTCAAACACTGCTGCAGTTAAATATTTTACCCTTTGTTCTCCCTGCGTGACCTACAATAATAATCTGCTTTGTGTTGATATTTACTGTTGTGTTGCTGACAATTACCTGAAAGAGAAGTCGGGGTGCTTCACTGGGCTGGAAAAAGTTTAGCTAAATCAGAAAGCAGGTCTAATTAAGCAAGTTTATTCATATATATATGGCTAAATTGACTCGCACATGCGCAATACATATAAAGCTCTCACTGGCACCAATCACGCACATGTGTTTCCATCTATCATTGTCGATCATGAATTTGGTTGACACTTCTATTATAGAGAAAGGACAAATAGCGATATTAAAATATTCTAATTAATTTCCTTTCAGTGTGCATGAATTCGTGCACTGGGCAGTAGTATTCTTATAAATGTGATGATTCATATATACTATTTCTTGTTGAAATAATACTTTCCCTTATCAAATAATAAATGTTTATTTTACTTACCATTGTAGGCAAAGCGAAATTTTCAGCACCT